TTTAAATCTCCACCTACGAGAAGAGCGAGAGAGAGAGAGAGAGGACGAGGACAATGGCGTCATGTGGCGTGCCGTTATCTTCAGGTCTCTGAAAGGCGGCAGACGAGAGGATGAGAATAAAAAGAAGCTTGAAGAAGGGCATAAATGTGATAACAGCTGTAGGCTGTATAATCTACGCTGCTTTTCAGGGAGGTATATGGAAGAAGAAGAAAAAAGAAAGTCAAATCTTTTGCGACCTTCAGATTTTTAAGTTCAGCAAAGCAGCTTCCTCGCTCACAACAACTCCAAAAACCAAAAATGGAAGAGGATTTGCAAGATGGATGGATGAACGGATGAACGGATGGCTGGATTGGCAGATAGAGAAACAAACACAAACAGATCTCGGGAGCTTAAAGTTCGAATGAATCCTGTGCAACAGACCTTTAGTCAGTAATCTTTCCGGTTCGTTTTTTTTTTTGTTTTTTTTTGGGATGCCAAGGACGATGATATTGTCCATCATTTGAGGATCCAGTTTGAAAAAAAACGTGAGATGAAGACATGTCGCAGGATTCATCACTCTCATTGCCTCTCCATCACCCGCTGGAGGAAAGGATGGAGTGGTTAACCTTCACAATGTGACAAATTCCATGTCAGACACATTATTTATCTTAATAATGATAAGCTTAATTTAGCACCTCCCCAACCAATCCTCAAAACTAAGAGATGCTGCAGCACATAGTGCCTCATCTTTGTTCATAAAGAAGGCCCAACAACAGTTTGCCTTTTACATTCAACGGCCCCGCTGTTGGAACTAAGAGATGACACCATGTCTTAATTTTACAGAGGTTGCACTGCACGCTCTTCTTGTCAGCCGCTGACATTCACAGCAATTTCCAACAACATATTAATTTTCAGTGCGTAGAAATGTCAGCCAGGTCTTGTTTGTTTTCTGTCCTATTGCTGTGCTGTGAGGGTGATGTGGACCACTAACTCCCCCTACTGGACATTTAGGGCAAAGACACTCTTTGAAACGCGTGAGAAATGACTTTAAAGAAGGCAGACTATGAGGACTTCATAATGGTACAAAAATGGAAATTCATCAATGAAGAAGTACTCAGAGATTAATTCAAATGTATTGTTCATGATGATGGGTTAAAGTGAAGTTCAAGCTTTTCACAATATGCCTGATTCTGAAACGTTATGCTTTTGAAAGTACACACACTCGCACCAAAAACACACACTTTCCTCAACAACTATCCTCCTCACTACAGATTACATACACAAAAATCTTCATCCTCCTCACTTTCCTCTGCAGCAGTCTGAGCAAAGGCAATAAAAAAGAGTAAAGAAAAAAACCCAGCCAACCACCACCACCACACCTCTCCTGCAACCCGTCTCTTCACCTCCACATACATGAAAAGCCTGATCCCTCCATTGCCACAGTTAATGGTGGGGACATTATTCATCTCTCCAGCCAATTTGAGCTCCTTTTCTTTCAGGGATATAAAGACACGAGGGGTTGAAGGGGAGTCTGCGAAGAGTATTAAATATGTAGAGGAAGATGGACAATGGTGCAGCAGAATAAAGAGGGGCAGGGGAGGTGGGAATGAAGAAGGACAGGAGGTGTTGAGACCGAGTTAGTTAGTGAGAGAATGTAAGGGAAAGAAAAATAAATGAAGAAGCAGTCACCTTGTCTGTATATTGGGAGTTTGTAGCGCTCAGTTTTTACCTTTTAAGAGGGTTACCATATTTAGAATGTGTAAAAGCATAACCTAAACATAAAAATCAAGCTGAGAAAAAAAAATAAGGATTGCTGTTTCTAGATCTTTGAGTAAAAAATGGCTTTAATTTGGTCAGGTTTCAAAGCAACTAAAAGCTGCCTTTTATGACTGAGTCACTGAGTCTGCCTGTTAAGCAAATAAATTGTTAAAATTATTTTTAGAATAAAGAATTGTAGAAAGATTTTGGACCTAGTTGTGCAGTTGTACAGACAAGGTATATGTATTTCCTAAACTGGTGATGGAGCTGGGATGGCCACACTTGATTGATTGTTTGATTTATTAAATGATCGATTGATTGATTGATTTAAAAATAAAAAAAACTAAAGGGGGCATGTATAAAAGAAATATCAGAGGCCCAAATACTGAGCCCTGGTAGATGCCATAGCCAAGAAGAATTTGCTGTTTGCAGTGTAAGCTGCAGTTTTCAGGCAGGAGATGAACCATTTTAGGACAGAACCCTGCAGACAAGCTTTGCCCTCCTGGTGTTTTAAGAGAATGTCAATCATACTGTCTGGGAACAAGTAGTGCTAAAATGAAACAGGAACAGTTACATCTTAGAAAATCAAATAATTTCTGAAATATATTTGAGATATTTTGAGATATAAAGTTTCAGAGTGATTCTCAAAAACTTTAGAAGAAATGTAAAATCCATTCCGATGAATTATGGAGCTAAAATCAATGTTGTATCATCTTGCCATCTTCATTAAAGGCTTTTTGATAGAAGGCCATCAGCTTCTACAGGACTATGTATGCCTGCCGAAGCCATAAAAAGTGTCTCCAATCTTCGTCCATGTGGTAGAAGCCAGTATTTTTGGTATGACTTCCAGTCTTCTTGTCAGGGTGAATGTACGCTGAGTGGCAAGGTATGGAAGAGATCATAAAGTAGATGGTGATTGACGGCATCTTAATGGAGGAGGATGGATCAATAAGTAATATCAGCAGTTTTTAATTCAAGGCAACACACATAAACCTTTACCAACTTCACAATGTCACTCAGTGTTCATAAAAGTTTCCTCCACATCCCCTCGGACGAAAAGAGATAAATCCATCAAAAAGTCGTCTCAGTTTTATTTCCCACCCCTCCTTACTCTCTTCTCTCCCTCCTTTCATCCCCCCCTCATCTCCATTTTGATGTCTGTCTATTAGCAGAGGGTGAGGCCTTTCCTGCTCTCACATCCAGGGGCTAAATTAGCTCAATCAGCCCCCTTTCACCTCTCTTCCTTGGGCTTCAAACTGAGTGACACACTGCTCCCCTGAGAGGGAGGGAGGAGTCACACACACACACACACACGCACACACACACACACACACGCACACAGACACACACACGCACACACACACACGCATCCCAGCAGCCAGAAGAAGAATATGGAATATGGAAGGAGGGAGGAGAGGGGGGGCAGGTAGACCGAGAAGTTGTGGTGAGAAGGAGGAAGGGTCGAAATAAAGGATCCATCCTCAGCTCTGAATGGAGCTCGTTGTTGAACTCATAGAAACAGCTCTGTGATTATTTTACTTCTCCCTATTTCTCACCTCTCTGGAGGTCCGAGTAAGGCTCCGGGTGCTGTGCCAAACCCCTTCCAAAGAGGCCCCACCGTCAAAAAAAAGGGGGTGATGAGTGTTTCTCAGTATCTCCCTTCACTACAACCCTAAGCAATCAATGCCAGGGCCGAAGTCCATGTTCAGATGCCAACATCTCTTAGATTGTACATTCATGTTTGATTTGTCTCAACCTTTTCCCCCTTTTCCTCTCCCTCTTACTAAACAGTCACCCAAGTATCTGTGGAAGTGCAAGGCAGGCACTTCTGCTGTAGTAATAGCAGTGCGTGTATGTGTGTTGGGGAAGAGATGGGCGAAAAGGTGGTGATCGGAGTGAGCCATAAGATCTACTCTTTGCAGCTCAACAGGGATTTATTAGACCAGGGAGTACATTAGCATCATAAAGAGCCTGGAGAATGGGCCTGTGGATGGGCTGCAGACACCACCACTACACTTAAACATGCTCTGCGGCATCACTCTGCGTGTGTGTGAATGTGTGTGGATGAGGAATAAGATTACCCCGATTTAAACTTATGAAAGGCTGTTAAATGGTTTATGGATCATCCTGAAGCAGTCCTCAGCTAATATATCAGGAGATGATGGAAAGAGCTGCAGAGGAGAAATAAAAGAGGCAGGAAAAGGACGGAAGCAGATTAAATTTGAATGCCGATACAACGTAGAAAACAGGATCAATTTCCCAAATAGACCCCGATTCATTTAATATGTCAAAACCTGTACATATCCTGTACATAAAATTTGCACTTGGAATGCTTTGCAGTCAGTTTTTTTAATGGTTGTAACTCACCAGGGGAAATAAGTAAATCAGTATCCTCAAAGGTTCCTGGAATTTCTGCACAAAAAATGGAACTCTAAGCGTTCCACAACTGTGAACAAACACACAAACAACAAACAGTGGGATGTTAGTAATATTGAAAAGGAGTTACTTTTCACAGCAGCTCAGTCCTTTGAGACAGTAGTGTCACAGCTGAAGACACACTTTTAATGTAAAGAGCTCTGCTTCCCCCTGGTGGCCATTTGATGCAACAACTAGTAGCAGCTTTATTTGTCTCCAGTCTGTGTTTTGCCTACAAATATTAAATAGAAAAATTCAAACAAAAACCGTATTTGCTTATAACTACTGTCTAACACTTAACATTTGAAATCCACTCTTTACCAACACTACAACCTTTCAATCATACTAAACTCTCCATCATATTTATTCTCTGGTTTTGCTTTTTTAAATGAAGAAAGCGCAGTACACTTTTATTTTTTGAGATGCTTGTGCATTTTTGTTTTCAAAAAGTGTCACTGTAAAATGTTTAATTTGTTGTTTTTTTCTTTTTTAAGAACATGTTCTACCTGAAATTGTAATAACAATGAAGCACAAAGGTTTTTAAGCATACAGAAATACTCAAGCTGGAATAACGAGTTGTTCCTGACATTTCTATACATCATATTGACACTTACCTTGAACTAGAATTAAGGTGAAATATCAGACTTATTTTGAAACCAGACTTCTAATAATATCGAACTACTGCTCATTCTTCTGCACAGTGGAGGAACAAAACACATTTTTGAGCACAACGTAAACCTAGCCTGGACCATGTTACTGTTTAATATACCAATATAATAACACACATACATACGCTTGCACACGCACACACCATTATGAGCTGTAAAGAAACACCAGAAGTCGGTGAATGGATTTTGGTAAAACATTTTATAATCTCAGTAAAATCAGAACTACTTTTCCCTGTGTATTTTGATCTGCAGAGCGCCCTCTAGTGAAAGAGAAAAGGAGGCCTGAGTAGCTCTTTGGAGTGTCGGCTGGGTGACAGTACAACAACAGTCAATCTGGGGCTGATTTGGAAAAAGGGTACAACACTGGCAGACAGACAGACAGACGGACAGAAACAAAAGCAGAGTCAGTGCTACAAGGCCATAACAATCACAACTCCCTGGCTCAGATTTAATATGAAGACAGTCGTCATCCAGTCTCCATGGACACCAAAGTCAAGAGTGGGAAAGCTGTATGGTTCTGCTTCAGTCGGACAAAAACCTCTGGTAAAGGTTACATTCATATGTAATGGGAAATTTGGATTCAGTCAAATTTAATGGTCAACTTTCATCTATGTCTGGCTCCAAATTAAAATCACAGAGAAAAATAAAAATCCCAATAATATAAAAATGGCATCAAAAATGTACATGATCTCTTCATCTCTGCATTGAGGTGAAATTTGAAAGTTCATGTCTCCCTGATCCTTCCATAATAAAACATCAGTGGCTTTAATGCATTATAGTGTGCTTATTGAAGATGTCTCTGAGAAAAAAAAAGGTTCATCTGGAATAAAAATTAGAACTACAACAAATACAGATAAAACACATTTAAGTGGCTTAGTGGCATAAAACATTTGAAATAAATCTTATTCCACAAACTCTTCCATGTACAAAGTTAAAACAATAATATGGTTTCCAGTGCTTTTGGAGATAAAATAAAACAAACTATAGGAAAAAAAAAACACTTATTTTAATCAAAAAAAAAAATCACCATAAATTTTTTTTTTCTACCTTTATCTTTTTACTGATTAGGAGATATATCAATTCAAAGCTGAACCTTAAGTTACCATAGCAACTGTGGACAACTTCAGCCTGCCCTGCCCAAGACATCACTGTGAAGACTGCAACCAATGGGACGACATGTTCCCTTTGCTGAAGGTGAACAGCAGACCTGAGATCAGCCTCTGCAGCTGGCACTCGATACATCAGAGGAGAAAGAGACGGGCTGATTTGAAAATAGATTCAAGGCAGCACTGTTTGTTTTGAACTGCAGGTATCGGAGTGCCATAAAGCCTATTTGTGGACGACTTGAGCGTTTAACGAGGCCTGTTTGTGAACCGAGTGAGAGCATGAGCTAAGTGTGTGCAAATGCTGTGCTCTAACAGTGAAGACCACCTGACGCCTTCTGTGGACTGAATGATTAAACCCTGTCACTTTAAATTCCACTTACTTGAGGCAGGGCCTAAAACGTCAATAAATAAAACGATTTAAAACTCCTTTTGGATTGCGTCAGATTTTGGCACCCCCTGTGGACAAATCATATCCTGTACATGTGTTGGTGATCTTTTCTGCTGAAAAATCTCACCCTGCTTTCTTTTGAACAGTCAATTGTTTCACTCCCCGTGAATGTCCGCCATGTAAAATATAAAAAAAGGCTGTTTCTGCAGTGTGCCGTAACTCACTTTGTCTGACACCTACACTGTGGCAATGGTTACAAGCAAATAAAAATACCTTTATATAAATGATCAGTCTTGTAACTGATGGTCTTGTTTGCTTTAGCAGGTCACTTGAATTGAGTTTCTGTCTGTTTACCAACCAGCTATAAACTCCTCACAGGAGATTCAAGGTATCGAGGTAAACTCTAAAGCATTTACAGGCGTAATTGAAAGTGATATTTACGTCTAATACCCGGTCACGACTGCTGACCTATGAAAACATGCCTTTGAAGAGCAGCAGCTGCAGAAATAGAAAGGCACATTGATAGAGGTTCTGAGTCTGATAACTCAGGTTAACATCTGCTATTGCATAAGACCTGCATATGACCCTGCTTGTGTATTATATTACAGTACCTGAGTATTTGGACAACTATAGCATGGTTTACTCTACTCTCTCACATGATTTAACACACTTCTTGTGTATTCGTATTCTTCGGGTACAGGTCTTGACAATTTCCAGTGTTATAGACGTAAGATTCAGGGACAGCAGTATGTGTGTTTGTAAAGAACACCGTTTGAAAGCTGGATTATCTTTTCATCCGTGGAGTTTTAAAATGTTTCTTAAATGTGGACACTTTTAAGAAAACCTTTCAGCTTAGCAGGCTAACATTGATCTTTGTCAAACAGTTAGCGCTGGAGGCAAAAGCAAACTGTGGAATAACAGAATGAGCAACGGAACAACGAGGCTGGACTGCATCCCCTTAAGATGAATTATGCATGCAGGATCATGAAGCTTTTTCCATTTTATTCACTATCTTTGGTTCAATCATTTATGGTTGCTAAAAGAGGCTGATGTAAGGAGAAAATAACTTGTCCTCTATCGAGTGAGACAATGTACTCGGTTTGTCCTTGTATCTGATAACTTCAATCTAATTAACTGCTGGTTTTGTCCCTTATTCAATTATGATTCAGAGGCACCTTTATGGAAACGAGGCCAAGTGTGCTCTATAACTCCTGACCTGGCAGTATGAGTTCAGCCCTTGTAAATGCTCAGTCTGTTGGGCAACGTGCCAGGTTTGTCTCACATGCACTGGTGTATAAGTGTGTGCATGTGCAAACATTTTTACTATACAATTTTCAACTGTGTGGGTGTTGTTGCTTGGGATTGATGTACCAAAAATGAGTGTTTCTGAATGTGTGTGCTGGGTGGATGATGTCATTCCTTTACTGTGGTTTGTGCTGTGTGTGTTGTGCTTTAATAATTTTTTTTCTGCGACCTCTGTGAAACCGCTGCATGTGCTCATGTGAGTGATTCTGTGTGTGTCTACAGTATGTCTCCATCCTCTATGCTGAAGCTTGATCTGCGGCTGGAGTCGACAGATTCCTCGGGAGACATTGCAGAGAGCAGCGGGTCTCCTCCCATGGGGGACAGGGGCTCGTCCATCATCAGGAAGCCCAGCTCACCTCTCTTCCCCTGGACATCCAGCCCACCCAGGTCGCCGAGCCCCGACATGCCATCTGAGAAGCCGGGGATTCCGTCACACAAGTCCAGCGACTGGGCAAAGTCAAATGGTTGGGAGCTGCCCACAGACGGGTACTGGATGGGTAACTGAGGCTGCAGGTGTTGGGGGAGCGGTGGCAGCTGCCGGTGCTGATGCTGAGCCTGGTTCTGGTGGTGGAGGTGGTTCTGTGGGAGGAAGTGGTGATGCTGCTGGGCCTGGGGCTGAGCTTGGTTCTGGGCTAAGTGCTGGGCCTGATGGTGGATTTGGGGGTGAGAGAGGTTGTCCTCTGGGCTGGTCTCTTGTTTTACGTAAGAAGCCATCAGGTCATTGGGGTTCAGGCCAGAGGGGGAGTTGCTGGGGAGGCCATGCAAACGAGCCTGCATCTCCAACTCCTGTAGACAGTGGGTGGGGAGGGTAGCTTCATCATTCAGTAGATTTTATGTGATTGTGATCTTCTCAATATCTCGTAATAGAATCGTCACTCTAGTATACAGAAAGTCAATAGGAAAATTACATTTCTTTTCTGAATGCTGCTGCCAGAGTCAAAAAGATACAGTACTGTGCATCTGTTTCTTTTACTGAATTATTTTTAAGATCTCAGTGCATGCAGACAGAAGGCATCACTAATAGCTCCCTTGTGGTATCCAAAGGCGTGCCCCAGGGATCATTCCTGGGACAACTACTCTTCATTTTATATATCAACAGTCTCGAACCAAATGTTATTAACGCAAATTTCCACTTTTATGCTGATGACACTGTGATATACTGCACTGCACCTACACCAAATCAGGCCCTTTGTCAGCTACAACTTGCTTTTAATACTGTACAACTTACCTTGTGTGATTTCAAACTTGTGTTGACTGCTGATCATGCTGACTTTTGGCTGCATGTTTGTATGATATGTTGTGTATAATGAAGTTAAGTTTAATGCATATGTGTGATTTGTGTGTTACCTGAATGCGTAGCATTAGCTGTTTGTTAGCCATTTCCATCCTTTTGAAGTTGTTCTCCACCTCTCTGGTCCTCTGCACGTCCTTCTGCATGCGTTTGATATACTCGACAGACGCCCGCAGAATAGTGCCTTTGTTCCAGCGCACGTCACTATGCACACAGTAGAGGACAAAAGCAATTTACACAGATAAGTAACGGACAGTAGGTGATTCAATTAAAATGTTCCATCCTCATTTAAAACTGTGAAAGCAACTCACAGGTCGTTGGTTTTGGGGATCATGGTGCCCAGCTCTTTGATACGATCATTGATGTTGAATCGCCTCCTCCTTTCAACTGTGGAGGAGGAAAGTAGAGACAAAACGGAGATAAAATAGGAGACAAAGGAAATTACATGAAGACAATTCAGAGGAAGCATAAAACTTCAATAATCTGAAGGTTCAATAATGTGAAGCATAGGAGTAAAGACCAGTGCACACTGCATACATACAGTGAAGAATAAGTGAAACAAGCACTCACACACAGTCACAGGCAATTACACGCAAGTGCCAGAACAGCAGAAATGACTAGGTTAACCATCCACCAGGATTTGCACCACGTCAGCTAAATCAGTGCAAGGTTGTATAAAACTGTTTTTTTGCAAGAGACAGATTATGGTGTGTGGTAATGTGTGTGTACTTAGTGTAAGTGTGGGCATATGTTTTTAAAGGAATCCACAGAGAGAAGAAAAGAGGAGGTTGACTTTTAGGTCAAAGAGCATGTAGAGGTTAAGACTCACTCAGATTGTGGTTGTCTTTCTTCTGTCTCTCCTTGGCCATAGCACGGGCTTCTGCATCTTTGCAAAAACAGAAACTGATTAACAAACAACCGAATACTGCGACTGTATCAAAGGAAACAGATTCACAGTGGAAATAATTGTTCCTTAACAAATATTACCAGAGAAAAATGTAAGCAAATGTTTCAGTCTTTTAAACAATTTTTGTAACATGATCAAAGTTTGATTGAGTCCTGATGGATTTAAAGTTTCCCAGATATTAAAATGGGGCGATAAAGTGCCAAACTTTTTGACTTTCGCACCTGACAGTTCTCGTTTAATGGTCAGGTTGGCAGGACAGGAGTTGCTGGTCATTGCTACAGTTGGTCCCTTCATTCCAGGACCTGTGTACACATCCAGGTGGCTGCTGGACAGGGGGAGCTGGGAAGTGAGCACACAAAGTCAGACATACAGAGAACCAACACTTGACTCACATGGAAATGACATTTACTTTACTCCATCAGATCTAAACAACTGCAGCTCATAGATTCCTGGGATCAAGGAGCAAGAGAGTAGAAAGAGCAATTTTCCATACATCTACATGCATCTATTAAAAGACAGTTTGTAAGCCTAAGAAAAGATTTGTTGTCTCAACATCACTTGCATGTTTGGAAGCAAAGCTTTGGTAAAAACATTAAAGTAAAAAAAACAACTGAAAAGTTTATTATCGACACAATAGCTTCGAGCATCTTCCATAAGGTGTAATTTAACCCACTGTTGTGTTACATATGTCTGAGTGTCTATGACAGGAATGACTGGTGAACTTAATAACATTTAAAAGTTAATTCTAACAGAATGTCAAGGTAATTCAACCTCGGGTCACACTGTTGTTAAATTGATCATATTTCTCTCTGTTTCCTAGAAGACTCATTTACAGCTCCCAACACCTTTATAAGTAGCTTCATAAAGTCAGTGTTCGTGTTTAGTGTGCTGTAAAGTAAAGATGGGACTCACAGCAGGAGATAATGCAATAACATCACACTTAAAAAACAGCATGCCAAACTCAAAGCAATGATTGACTATATCAACCTATCTTTATGATCGCTCTTTATGGCTTTATTCTCTCCTCTGCCTTCTCCTGCTCCTGAACTCACACTCTGTGGTTTTGCTCTCCAAACTTTTGCACTTTAGACGTTGCATAAAAAGCTGTAATTTAGTTTTGTATGGACTCCTAAAAAGTCTTGATTTCCTTTTAATTGTACCGTATAGTTTGAGTCCTAAGTGCACTTTTTTTTTTCTGCCTGGTTACCAAATCGTGTAGTACTCCCTGCAGGGAGAGCAAATGTGCCGCTGCTAATGAGGCCCGGAAGATAAAGAACTTCAAGGAACAGATACCTTATCTGCTGGCTACTGTGTGAGCTGTGAGATCAAACACATTTACACACACACACACACACAAATACACACGGAATACCACATTTACGTTTGTATGTAAATGATATGGCCTGTTAAAAAGTCTCACAGAAGATCTGAAGAACACAGAGTTAGTTAAAATCACCACTCAGGGTGGAGGATGTGTTGTCAGAAGCCATTATTCAAATGCTGTTTGCACTGTGTTGTATCAGCTGAATGTGACTTGTATGTTTAGCTGTTCATCTCACATCATAATGTGATCACCACCATTCAACGACATAATCAAACAGGAAGTAGGAAATCAAGATTTTCAGCTGACATTTTTAAAAAGACAAATCCAAAGTTTGAAATACATGTAATGACCTCCCATGTCCTGAGCACACAGACAGCCCTGATGAGAGCTCATCTCACTCAATTAAACAACGAAGCATGACTGCGACTCGGTTTAACCATCCAACTGAGACACTAACACATAGTTCACTAGTGCCTGGTATTCAGTGGTGCTTTTACTAAACTTTGAGATTCCAAGAATTCCACAGAGTTTGCCGCTTTAATCCCCATCAGGATTAGCAGGTGAATTTAACTCACTGCTCTGTCAGTTTAGGAATACGTCAATGAGTTTAGTTTCTATTACATTTTACACACAAAAAAAAACATCCCTCCATAAATATAAGACAATAAACACTAATCATTTGAATACATTTTCTCAGCAACAGTTACATCTTCTCAAAATACTGCACTATTGATTTCATGGATCTATGCGTGGAATTTGTTCTCAGACAGTTCTGTGCTGGCTCCACACACACACTGATCCTACTGAGGGTTGATCAATCACCTAATCTAATCAATCAGTGTGATGTACAAGTACGTGCACACGCGCACGCTAACACACACATTCAGACACATGCATGCCAGCACACGTACACTGATTAAACAATCAACATCATAGCACATACCAGCCACACCACAGACACACACACACACACACACACACACACACACACACACACACACACACACACACACACACACACACACACACACACACACACACACACACACACACACACACACACACACACGACCACACAATGAGCTGATCCTGCTCTAGTCCAGACCTGCTACTATCTCCACAATAATTGCTCTGTGAACCCCAACAGCTCAAAGTCATCCCCAACAAGACTGCCAGAGTTCGGTTAGGTCCCTTAGAACAAAAAAAATCCAAAAGCACAAATAAAAACCTATTCTGAAAAAATAAAAACCCCTCACCCTCCCCGCTGCCCGCATTCTCTAATCAGGGACCTGAGGTTGGGAGTTAGAGCAGTCACTGCATCTGTCAAAAACGCTTCATTCTGAGCAAAAAGCTAAACTCCTAAAAAAGTCACACTTAACAGTCGAACAAACAACAGTGCTTCAGTGTCTTACCAGCTGAATCTGTTCTCCTTCAATAACTTCCACAATGGCATAGGTCTTATTCATCTCCTTCATCTTCTACTTCTGCCCTCACTAGGCCAGCGCTCGCTCTTCTTCTCTCTCTCTCTCCCTCTCTCTTTCAGCCACCAGCAGCACACACAGCTCCTCTCCGCGGCACCGCTGCCCCCGTCCTGTGAGACTGACCTGGCCTGCACCGATCCCGTCTTTCTTCTACCTCCGCTCCCCTCCAAACAAGAGTGAACTTTCCCCTAACTGGACTTTCAGCCTGTTTTCCCCTTGCACAAATTGCACTCATCCCCCTCTTCCCTCCTCCCCTCCCCTCCTCCCCTCCCCCACCTCCTTCTCTACCCTCCCTCCCTCTCTGGATGTCTTGTAAACAAGTTGAACTCTAACTGCTGGCAGTTTAATTGTTAATTTTTCTGAGTCGTTGCCTTCAACACAAAGCACAGCACAGTCCTCGTCTGCCATGTCTTCCCTACAGTTTCAAACTACGTCCAGTCTCGTTAAGGGATGGAATGTGACGTGATTGAGTCAATTACACTCTAGCATGTGCACACATAAGATTGTCTATGTATACAGCTGCAAAAAAAAAAATGGGATATGAAGGAAAATAACCACCTTTAAGACGGCTCTCTCAAACATTTTTTGCACACATAGCAATTTAGCACGACTGACAACTGCACAACCAATATTCATATTATCAGCAGGAAAGACAAAGAAAAGGATGGATAGATTGTGGCACAACAAAGAAAGAGAAAGACTGATCAAATACAGGAACTGTGATTAGAGGAACTACTGAAAAGCTAAAGTCTGAGGACTGATGACACAGCACTATGACTCACATTAGTGAACACAACTTTAGAGAAACTTTGTTGGGTATTACTGTGACATTCAAAGTGTAGGACCCCTGTGGACACAATATGTGTAGAGTTGTAAGTTGCATTATGACTTTCTGAACAAAAAAGTACACTGATGCAGTCAGTGTAAAGGAAAAAAAGTGTTTTTAATCGAGGTGGGAAAAAAATGTTTTATGTAAAAATCTTCTGAGATTTTAAATTGATTCATAACTGCCACTCTCTGCTAAGTGCTAAGGCTAGCTCTTTAACTCAGTAGAATGCCAAATGGAGCAACAAGAAATACAGCCAGTCTCACAGATGACTGGAGTAGATCCTGAAGTATTTACTAATTAAAAAAATAGACTTTGAATCCATGGATCCATGAATCGTGAGACACCCAAAGATTCCCAGTTTTTAAAAAGCAATTTTTCTATTTATGGCTTTTTAATGAGTCATCTAATGTTTCATTTCAAATAGGGTCCATGAGTCGAATCAACTGTTTCACCTCACTCATTTGTAACTTTCAAAAAAAAGTTCAAAATAAATCCCCAAAAAGTTAGTATGTCCAGTCAAGTGACTTTTCTTTACCTTTATAAAAAAATCTTATATCACACATTTGCCTTTTAGGGCTTTACAATCTGATGACACTTCAGACTTGGTTTAAGAAAACTCCAAAATAAAAACATTTTGTGACTTTCCAGGAAGGGTTTAAAATCTTTTTTAAAAGGCCGACCTCAAATATGTAGCTGAAAAAAGAGTCTGTCGGGAGCATGTCCAGTTATATCAAAGAAAAAACAAATGAAGGATTGCTGAATTTACACCTTTTTGGTGGGTCGATTCCACTTACTGTGTTTGGCATCTGGATAGGGTCTATGTATGCTTGAATATCATCATAATTGGACTGCATGCTGATGATGTCGTCAATGACCTCATCCATCTGGGGGGAAAAGGGGGGGGGTTATTTTGACAATTCTTTAACAACTTTTTAGACAAAAACTGCATGTAACTCTTGGTGACACCACACGGAGGAGCCTGAAACTACTTAGATGTATAACCAATCATCTGAAACCTGTTGGCATGCGGACCTCCTACAGGTGTAGATTCACTCAAGAGAAGACTTTAAAGGATGACACCTATGTTATGGAGGCTAACTAGTAAAACATTTGTCCTCTGAGAGACAGAAATAAGAGTAGAGTTAAGACGGAAGGAGTCGGTGGTGGAGAGGTGGTCAAAGGCTGTCAGGTTCAAAGGGCCCTTACATACTGCTGTCACTTGTAAAGCTGTAATGAGTCTTGCAAGGCCATAATGGAGCATTTAAATTCCAATGATAGCCACTTTTAGTTATTGTCAGTTAGTCAACACATTCACCTCCTCACCTTCTATACACACAACACATTAACAGCAAAAAAAAATGTCAAGCATGGCACCTCCCGACCAAAGAGCAATTAAATGACCATGATGCTTTCATCAAATGTGGAGATAATGTCACTTTGGGGGCAATATTCAATCCTCATAGTTTTACACAGGAGTGTAATTGAGTCATATTTAAGGGATATTTTTTCAGGCTGGTGCCTCTTTATTGTTCTATATAACAGAATTGGGAATAAATGTTTAAAGGTTTATGTTTATACTGCAATCTGCCCACCCTTGAAGGCGCCTACCTCTTTCTCTTGGCTGGTGCCGATGTTGAGCATGGCCATGGGGCTGTTGGGGGCGCTGTTTCCCGTCATAAGCTGCTCGGTGCGCATGTGTGGAGAGTGGAGGGGCGGGGGTGCAGAGGCTGAACCGCCTTGGGGTACCATGTTTGGCGGAGGAGAGGGCGGCACCAGCCCTGCTACTGCGTGGATCGTCTACAGAGAGAGAAAGAGAGAGAGAGAGAGAGAGAGAGAGAGAGAGAGAGAGAGAGAGAGAGAGAGAGAGAGAGAGAGAGAGAGAGAGGAGGAGGGAGGTGATGATGTTATTGATGGAGTTCTTACACAAACAAACATAAAGTTTACCTATGGATTGTTCAACAAGCCAGACAACACAGAAAGACAGGTCAAATATACATGGGGTTTATCTGATAAGAGACAGACAGCACACATATACAGTTCAGAGTAAAGACTTCTAACAAAAGATACCTGCTTGGTGGCAAAGGTGGTGGACAGGAATTCTTTCACTTGTTGCTTCCGAGACTGACGGATGTGGTAGTCTGTAGGATTCTCCAGGTGGGTCTCTACCTGCAGTAAGAATTTAAATTAAAAGGATGTGTGAACTCGCTGGAAAGCCTAGAGGTTAGATCAACCCTCAAGACTTCAGCCTTTTTGCTGCATGTCATTCCAGCTCTCTCTTCTCAACATGTCTCTCTTCAGCTGTCCCATCAAACAAAAGCAAAAACATATTTTTGCACTTTTCACATCCTTCTGATGATATTTATTGTGATATGCTTTGTACGGTGTAAAATGAATTGTTGGACCTACGATGGGGCTGCCAGTGGCTGTGTTTGCCTGCAGCCAATTTATTTTTATTTTAATTCAAATTGTTTTTGAATGAAGTGTTTTGTTTTGTTTTAATTAATGTTTTGTGAAAGAGGGGCAGATATTATAAGATTAGTCCTTATTCTGCTCATTTTCATTCAAAATTTGAGATTTTATGTTTGTTTGAATTAAATAAAATTAACAAATAAAAGAAAAAAAATACTTTTGGGAGTACAGTACATGCAGGTTTTATAGGAGGTAAGTTAAGAGTTGTTTGGAGCCACAAACTGTGTCATAAAATATTATTGAAAGCTGTTGTTTCAATCTGAGTAGCTTTAATTCAAGTTAAAAGTACCAGATGCAATATAAATATGTATATGTATATACATACTGTACACACATACACTTGTTATATATATTGTCAAATATGAGAATATGGCTAATATTAAGTTTGTGGGTTTTCGCACACTTTACAAAACTAACTAAAATCTGGATAAGGGTTGATGTTTTATAAGTCCTTAAATGAAGCAGAAAGGTCTCACCTTAACGCTTTATTTCAACCCAGGTTAGAGATGTAGCAGAGTTGGCTGCAAGAGATGCATCTTAAGTGCAAGTCAGCAACAACAGGACATAATAAAGTGACCGTGTAGGTGTCTGTAAGTGGAAATAATACATTTTACCACTGCTGTCCACTTATCATAACACATCAACTGATTTAAGTTTTTTTTTCTTGCAATGACTCAAGCACCATAATAAAACACGAAAGTTATAAGATATCCCTGAACATGATCTTAACTACATTTTCATACATACAAAAGTGTTGAGTGTGCTGTAAAAGCTTGTGAGCTCAGCATGGCTTAACACTTACATTAAAAACAAAAACACACTTTACACTGAGTGTGCACTTAAAATGTACACTCTGCTTTGATGGCATCCAGACACAGGTCCATGCAGTCAGTAGAGATGCCTCAGGGTTAAAGCATCACTAACTCCTCTGGTGTGGCCACAGAGTAATACTTCATGAAGAACACACCCACTCTGTATTACTAAAAAAAAAAGAGGCACTCAGCTCCTCTGCCCCCCCACTCCACTTTTTGTTCTTTTTTACAACCAAAAGTAAGAAATTCTAGAAACTCTACAAAATACATTTGTTACACCTCTGTGCTGCTTTGGACACATGTCACTATAGCAAATCTTGGCCCTTTGGAGAAACACACAGGATTGGCTGTCAGCTCTGTACGGTATCTGTCGGGGTCTCAAGAGCCTGATGAACAAATATTCAGTCAAAACTGTTTGGCCCAGCGTTGTCAGCACAGATGACGTTTAAAGAAACAGCTCAGAAGGCTTTGACAGGCTCAGAGAGACTGATGGAAATGTCATCTTATCTACAGCATGAATGGAAAAGACAACTCCGAACACTCCCACATGCATGCACACAGAGTAAACTGTCAATACAGCAAATTGCTCCACGCGCAAACATATTCACAGTTTGACGTACCGTTGAGCAACACAAACATGCACATAATGGAGTGTTGCACAAACACACCATCATAGATAAGGATGTACACAAGCATCTTAGGAATCAGGCAAAATGTCACTTCAGCTTTATCTGCCCATGTCTAACTGAGACTATCTACATCGCTCCTGTCTGTCCTATCACACTACACGTCAAACCTCCTCTAATCTCCTCGTCTTCCTTCCCCCCTCTCCCTCCCTCCCTACCTGCTTGCTGCTCCACCACATTTTTTCTCTCTCTGCCTTTTATTTAATCTTCAAATCTGTCCCTGATTTCCCCCAGTGTGACGCTGCTGATGTGAAGAATTACCCCTAAAAAAAACCTAGTTTCTCACTTCAGCCCTCATTAAGATCTTTTAATATCTGTAGCTTAGTGCTGTGTTTTTAATGTTGTCATTTGGACCGGAAGCGAATGACGGAGATTTTTAGCATACCTATTATGTTATTATGATTCATTCACAATGATGTAGTTTTTATTTTGCTGCCAAAAAAACCTGCAATGACTTCCTTCTCAAGCCATTTTCAGATGATACATCCTATACAGCCTGTGATTTACTTTACATAAAGACCTACTACTCAATCATTTCTTATGTACTCTATGATCTAAAATAGACAAACAGCTTCTTAAAGTAGATGCTTTACTCCCCCGTTATGATTTTATCAAATTGAAAATACAACATTCTTGAAAAAAGCAATCTGAACTCTTGACCCTTGACTCAGCGATTTATTCTTGACTAATTGAGGGAAGTATTTGGTAGGGGAAAAAAAGTTGATCATGAAAATAACTATTTGCAGCAGTCGTTTACTGACCTTGAGAACCTCGACGGGGACCTGCATGCTTTGGTAATGCTGTGGGGTGCTGATAGCTGGGGTAGGTGCAGGCAGCCCCCCCATGCGCTGCTGCATGTACTGCAGGGCTACATTGTGCTGCTGCTGCTGCTGCTGCTGAAGCTGCTGCTGCCTCTCACGCTGCTCCTCTTGCTGCAACTGGTCTCGCATCAGCTGGACGGACACACACACACACACACACACACACACACACACACACACACACACACACACACACACACACACACACACACACACACACACACACACACACACACACACACACACACACACACACACACACACACACACACACACACACACACACACACACACACACACACACACACACACACACACACACACACACACAGTCTGTACAGTAAGTATATTTGAATATCTAAGGGGAATAGTGTGACCAAATGTATCAGTGGAGAAATGTTTGCTGCATGTAGGCCCTTCAAATAAGTGACACATCTAAAATGCTGTCCCATTGATCAGGATACCTTCCCCACATTATCCTATGCAAAACCCAACGCTGCAAACAGAGTAACTTCATATAAACCTGGTTAGGATTATAAAAGGCTCTCATTGTGCATTTTTAATGACGGAGGTTGTCGTACCTGCATCCGCAGCCCGATGCGTGAGGCCATTGCTGTAGGGCGAGGGGGCAGGGGAGGGCGAGCCGAAGTCAATGCAGCGCAGTCCAGCCCGAGAGGTATGTGAAGCTGAGGAGGACAAAAAAACATTAGGACACAGTCAGAAGAAGGCATAGGAGAGGGGTACAAAGAATTGGGTTGAAAAAAAATTAAGGCAGACATGGAGTGCATTCAGCTATCTGTCTGCCATAGATGTGATTGCTGCAAAAAGTCAGCAGAAGTCAGCAGAGGTCAAAACAGTAAGAGCTGCTGTGAAGAGTTGCCTTGTAGGAACTGTTACCACAACTCAACTTTTCTCTGTAGTAATTCTCTATTCAATAGATCTTTGATAATGCATGCATTTTTGATACAGAGAGAGACAAGACAAAAAGAGAAGTGTGCAATATTGTGATACTTTTTTTTTTACAGAAGAAATGAGCCATCTCTCTGTGAGCTCAGCTTGGTCTGTGTTGTTGTTTGGTAGTGAAATGTATCCTCCACTGTATTTAGAACATCATCTTCCATGTCTTAAGATCACAAAAGATTACTTTAATCCATGTTAAATATGACACTACTATGTAAGTTCACTGCCTGCACAGAGAGGATCAAACAGATTCTTACTCAGGGTAGGACAGCAAAGACGCATATTTCAAAAACAGTAACAGAATCTCATGGTTCTCTTAACAGCAGCCTGTCCACTCTGAGACCTGCACAGTGATGTCACTCTACTCACAGGAATGTCAGAGATCTCTATCTTGACGCACTACTGGGCAAGCTGGATCACTTTGTCATCTACTCACATGCACTCTCTGTTTCTACTGAAGCAACAGCAACCACTTTCTACAAGAAGTTTAAAGACAGGTTGTCAGCCTCCTGATCCTATTAATCAAACACAAGTGCCCCAAAGCACTCACTGCTACACTGTCCCTTTCTGTCTGTCTGAGGCTCAGAATAACTGCCTCCAGAAGAAAATCAGGCGGTTAAAAGGTCGTGTAGTGAACTCATGTGATGTTTGTGATGTATATAAACACAGTAAATACAGACCATGTGGTTTTAAAAGTCTAGACATCATGTAATGTTTTTTTAAGCATTATGACCTAAAGAAAAAAAAGTAAATTCCCACAAGACAGAAAATTGCATGAACCTTTCCTTTCTAAGAGTAAAATCTTAGAGATTAACAGAGACCATGTCTGTATCGTTAGGTCCAATTTTTAATAATGTATGATAGAGATGATTGTGTAGAAACCATTGTTCCTCGAGGCTTTTCCCAATTGTTTATGAGACTCAACTGCTTTAAATTCCATCAAGAGGTATCCACAAACAGTGACCAATGAAAAAATATCAAGCCATGTGCGTACTTGATACAGTAATATAAGAGAACTAAGATAACAACCTTAAAATCTAAGAACACCAATCACACGTTAAAGTCAGACTTTTCAAATCATTTTATGGCCTTGAATATAATTTCAAAAAATGTTTTGAAACATCATGAGAATCTGCATGACTCAGCAAAAATGATTCCAGTTTCTGTGAAAATACCTTAGACTGACCAAGTAAGCCAAGGGATCTGTTGATGGATTATTCAAACAGTAATCATATATTGCTCTTTTTCTCTCTGTGACTGAATTTAAGATCTACTGCAAAAGTCAAATATCACATCACCTCAAAATTTAAATGTTTTTTTTGTAAATTCATCATTGGTATATACTCAACAGGAAAATATTGCATACAGCTGTGCGATCCTGCCATTGTTTAAGGGTTTCATTTTTTCCGTCAAATAAGGAGGGGAGAGCAATGTCTGTAATTGTGGTCATTTTTGCAGAAACTGTTCTAGGGCGGAATATTTGTGATTAACAAATCATCTATGGCAATGTACTCCATTTGGTTATTTTAATACGGACAGTAATAATGTTGCAACATTTTGTAATTAAAGGTTTTTTTTATTATTATATTTTACTTTTTTCCCCCCTTATTTTATAAATGTGTATATATGTGCATGTGTATATCTTTTTTTTTCTTCTTCAGAATTTATTTAATTGTAATTGTGTGTCTTGGAAATCTTTTTAAAACTCAATATTGTTAAAAAAATGAGGGGAGAAACCTAATAGAACAGAAGACCATTCAATTAAAATGTGTGGTTATTAATCAAGTGCTCATGAATAAGTCACACCACAGTAACAGCAGTGCAGGATTATACATGTCTCTAGATAAAGACACTTTGTATGAGTGACTATGCATAGAAATGGACGAGGCCCTGTTGTTCAAGTAGAGCTAACCAAGGGAAAAATCAAAACACTCTCTGCATCTCTGCTCCTCTCATATCTCTCTTCATGGTTAAAGGAGTCTCAAGCTAGCTAGCATCAATGCTCTCTGGCCCCTGATCATGTCCCCACAAAACAAGTGCGTGTTGAGAGGTACTTCCTCCATAATGGTGGAAAGGTCATGTGGGAGTCATGTGGTCGTGCTGTTCTTGGGTGATCATGTGAACAGGAAGAACACCCATAAATCCTTTCAAACGGCCCCTCCTATTTTCTACCACACACTAACAAACATGAGTACGTGCACACAATCAGTGGGGAGTCCCAGACTGATAGTTCCCCTTCTGCAATGACTGGTGTTCATCCCCTGCATGACTAGGCTTGTCTGGACCCACAAAGGTGTGACCTAAAAAAACTGATTTCTGCTCTGCTGATGTTTATGTGTTTGGAGACAACTTGATACAGAGAAGCAGTGACAGGGACATCAGGGTCCCAAACAACCAATCAGCATCCGCCTCCTCCAGTCTCTCATCAGCAACACTCTCTGTATATGGCGCTAAAGAGAGAAAGACAGAGAGGGAGAGAATAGCTCATTGTGCGTGAGGTACAATAAGAAGGGCAGCTCCTATTGAGGACTGAAGCCGCCTGTTGTCCGAAGTGTACATTTCAGCACCCGAGGGAGCACACACTGCCCGCTTTGTGCCTGTTGGATGGGTCCACATGAAAATACACACCCATGCAGAGAAACGCATCAAGACGAACACATTCCCAACACGCACGTACAAGACTGTGGAGAAGCTCCAACATGCCCAAACTGACTTAAATACACTTCTATGTGTAACAAAAAGTGAAGATGAAGATAGACACTAACACACGCACAGTGGTGGAATGCTGCACATTGTATGAACAGATTCTGATGAATGTAATGATTCCATCTCCACACTCGATCGGCAAGGTAGGAACGCCACAGGAGGACCTATGCTGTGCTTTGGGACCCTTTAAAGAACTGTGTTTTTTGTAACCATAACTTTGTTTTTGTTGATTGCAACTAAATGAACATCTACACCAAAAAGAGTATGAGATGAGATGAGATGAGATTCAACTTTATTGTCATTACACATATACAAGTATAGAGTAACAAAATGAGGTTTGGCATCTCACCAGAAGTGTAAATAAGCAGAAAGTGCAAGAGTCTGTGCTATGTACAAGTAATTACAAAATTTACAGATGTAGACTAAAAAAAGTGAATTATGTATATCTGGATGGCTGGATCAATGGGATGCTATAAATATAAATAAATGCTATAAATATGAGCGTATTCTTAAGATTATAATATACAGATTAAGGTGCAGTGAGCATGCTATACTAATAATATACAGATTAAGATGCAGTGAGCATGCTATACTAGTTTACAGATAATATAAAGAATATGGACATAATATGAACATACTATAATACAATAATACAGGTGGATGAGAGATGTGTGTGTGTGACCAGGAGGAGTGGTGGGGGGATGATGGGTGTGAGGTGATATGCTTGAAGGGGAAAGGGGGGGGGTCAGTAGCAGGCGGAGACAGAGAGGGAGAGAGAGAGAGAGAGACAGAGTTCAGAGTTCGGGGGGTAGAGTTCAGTAGAGAGACAGCTCTGGGGAAAAAGCTGTTCCTCAGTCTGCTGGTTATACAGTAAATAGCCAATCAATCCATTAAATACATCGATTTTGCATCAATATGACTTTCTAGGGGCACTCAGGAGAAAGATTTCTTTAACAATTACTGCATGAACTTAAAAAAAAAAACTATTAACAAAGTTACCTATTTCTAGAACCTACCATGATGTGCTCAGCTGTGGTTGTTTACATGTTGCATGTTGCTGCAGACAGTGCCCAGGGCATCAAAACTATGGAGTCAGAGCACGCTCCTCTCAACACATAACTGCATGACGTAATATCTTGATCACCTGAATTGTTTTTCTGTAAAATGTTCTTATAAAGAATAATTGTATGCACATATCCCTTTATATCTCTGAGAGGCCCATACGGGTCAAGGTATGTCTGATACATTGTTCAGGATTTAATCAGAAGTGATAAAGCATCGATTGTAACTACTTCATATGACATACCAGGGGTTGGAAGTTTGAATCATGTATGAACTATGTTTTGTATTTAATTTTTTTATTTGACATACTTGTTAATCCCAGAGGGGAAATTATAGTTTACACTGAGAAACATGCTTCACACACACACACACACACACACACACACACACACACACACACACACACACACACACACACACACACACACACACACACACACACACACACACACACACACACACACACACACACACACACACACACACACACACACACACACACACACTTCCTGATATCATATGGTGACACACTGCTACCAGGCAGAATGGTCTTCCACATGGGCCTTTCCATTGCCTGGCATCCACAGGGGAAAGCAGGCATCTGTGACGCAGTGAGAGCACACAGCAGCCATTGTGTGTCCAATGCTGTGATGTCACTTCAAACACTGACAGCCAGTGGGAGGATGCAGAGCGGAGGAAGACCGGGTCGGGGGTCACCTCTGGATTGTGCCACAGATTAGTCACGAACACGCATGACAACGATAATCACACAATACACCGAGGTGTGCAACATAAAGAATACATGAATCATGCTCTGCACTCCATAATAACACCTTAAATTGTTTGCTTTGCTATAAAACATGTGTGTGTATACAATAACAGACACAAACGTGCAAGTGCACACACTTGGGGGCAGTGTAGGGCACCTGTGCTCAGAGCCATGGTGGTGTTAATTTGTGGAGTGAGTATTTTTAGAGCTGAGTGTGCAACACCAAGAAAGGCCTTTTTCACAGCCAACAGAGCCATCATACACAAAGACACAGATGTTCTCTCACAACAAAGCAAGTGTGCATTCAAATGTATTGGAGTCACAGCTGAACAACAAAATTAAAACAGAATTAAAAATAGGGCAGCGTGACAAATGCAGAGACAGTAAGAAGAATAGTGTTTATTATTGGTAAAATGTATAATTCTGATCTTTATTCTTCATTTGAAAATGGTATAAGTAGATACATTTTTGCAACCTATACCGCTGGTAACTATTATTGATACTTCAATAGGGGTCAATTAACACATAGTCTATTTCCTGTTCATACCAAAAGGTTCTGAATGTGACACCGCACTGTGCACTTCACCAGCCTTTCAATCAGTGCACAGAACCATGTGCACTCACACAAACACACACACACGCCCTTTCCGCATTCAGCTATCTGTCTGCCTGCTCTAATGACTAAAATAACCCCTCTAGCTCTCTGTTCTCCTTTTCAGGAACACCCTGTTCCCCTGAGCTTGGTGTGCCGTTTTTGTTTGGTGCATATTAATGTGTGTGTGTGTGTGTGTGTGTGTGTGTGTGTGTGTGTGGGGGGGGGGTTTAGAGGGGGACTTGCACTTGTAAACATGTAAACAGGGCAGGTGTTTACATGTGTGAGTGCCTTAAGGCGACAGTCAAGACTTTGAGAAGCCTCTTTCACAACATGTTTACTGACCTACAGTATTGATATTCCTAAAGGAGCGCCAATGCTCACACACAAAGAGTACACACACACACACACACACACACACACACACACACCTGTAACCCCAGAGACAGCATACACTGACTATGCATGGGCATGCAAACAGAGTGGCAGACAGACAGAAGGATCACTCTCAAGCACTGTGGACTACTGTGTCGCCCTTCTGTACCACCTCAGATCTGTACTACAAGAGAGAGATACTAAGGATTTAGTCCGACATACAGGGGTTGTGTATGCAGAAAAGAGTGCCGCTTTAGATCATCAAAGATTTTACTGAAGTCTCCATTGACTGCTGCGTGAATGCATAGAAGCAACACACTCACTAAAGGGGAGGATTTTTTTATGTATAATTCACACAGAGACAGACACATATAGGGGTACGACATGTTTAATTACCTGTTTGAGAGGAAAAAGAGTTCAGAAGGTGAATTAGACGCTGCTGCGTAGGCTCCTGTCTACATGTCTGGATGCTGGAGAAAGTAGAAGGCAATCTGCTGGGGAGGTCATGGAGCACAGGGGGGTGAAGGAACATGACGCAGGTATGAAAGAAAAAAAACAAAGAAAAAGCTGAGTCAGATGAAGTAGACAGAAACATATGCTTGGTTATGAAATGTTGAAATAGACAGATGGAATAACTTGCTTGCAGTGTAGCGTTAAAGAGGGGGAAGAGCAGGTGAGCAGCACACGCTGAAGAAGATGCAAGAAAAAGCATTTCCATGGAGGAAGCAACAAAATAGCAGAGCGTGGTTAGACAATCACGCACTGAAGGATGTGATTAGAGGATATTGTTGAGAAGTGTTCTTAGGATTATTTCTACATTCCTGCTGCAGGACACCTTTGATTGAGTTGTTTTTTCATTCATAAAGTACATTTTATGCAGCTCGTTATCTTAAAGTCTTTCTATGTGATTTTTCACACTTGAATGTAATAGAAATCAAGTATATCCTCTGAAAATAACTCTGTGAGTCATGACTGTCTACAATGGGTGTAACACCTGAGTCCCACTGTCTGTGATGTTTTCAGAGTTTTCAGAGTCCTATCTTCACTTTGTTTACATCGCCCGGACGGCCGGCTGACTCCTCCCCTCACGTATAAAAGTTGTTTAATTGAGGGACTAGAGAAAAGAAGAATAACATACTGTACTCACTGCTTAACTGTGTTTCTAGATCACGCTCATTTCAGGTAAATTTACATGCAGTGTGAAGATACGAGCATAATAAAGATCGCTAGCATTAGCATGCTAACACAACAATGCAGCATGAGTTGTTTTGGTTTCATGCTGGCGCTCAAGGGCGACATCTGCTGGATCAAAAAAATCACATATAAAGCCTTTAAGGTTCTTGCCCATCACTTATCGGAGGTTCAAGCATTTTTCCTGAAGAGGATTTCTACAACACAAAGACGACAAGTTGTGCACTTGTTCAAAAGCCTAACACACTGCACCCTCTTTCTTCTATAAACATTCTGCAATGGCGACAGTAAAGAGTCGGATGCTTGTCAACTGCTGCAAAATGCTCAGTGTCTTAAGACTGTGAGTTAACTTTGGGTAAATAAATTAACTCTCCCCTGTATTTCTGAGAAGTCATTTGGTGTGAACTAACATAAGAACGTGTAACTTTTCTGCCTGGTAACCAGCTTCCTGAAGGTCGTCTGGATAAATGAATCACAGCAACTCATCAACATTGAGTGTGAATCACAATGCCTATCACCCTCTAAACACCATCTATATATAGCTGACCAAGAAAGACCCTTGTCCGCAGTAAATCTGCCCGCTCAGTATTACTTTACCCAGGTGCCTGTGCTACACAAAGAAGAGACTGATGTGAAAGGTCAACAATAGGTTATCTCCCAAACACACTTTCAGTCATTTCTAATCACAGCATGCCATAAATGCAAAAGTAGTCTTTGTAAATTAGTCAGGAGAGGTCAAAACAAAAAAAAGGTGCTCACAGTGCATAAAGGTGAATAAAAACAGCAGCAAACGTTCCCAGAGCAGATATAGACATCTGTCTATACATTTTTTGTTTTTCTTAGCCCAGTAGAATTGGTGTGCAAGTATCTCCTCTGCCATTTTTTCAAATTTCAGACTCGTATCGACACACCCAAATGTCACTTTTTTTTGACGCCCTGAGTAGGAGCAGTATTAATCACAGCGTGACACATTTAAGATACAGAAGAGACAATAAACCAACATCATCATTTATAACCACAATGCATCACTTCCCTTTCCACCCCCCACCCCATCAGTTTTCACAACTCCTTAGTTTTGTCAGAGTTGAAGCAACTTCCTTTGCAGTAAGCCCATGGAAAGAACAGAAACTGTTTGTCATACAACAGGACTAAACGCTTTGCTTGCGATGTTTTGATATTGTACCCTGATTCACTTCAACAGTTAAAAGTCAAGTAAACATCCATTCTGAAGTCAGTAATGCTATTATCTGAATGACCAAGCTAGTATACAAGACCATGTGGTAGACAGACGTCAAATATAGAGAATGCTATAACAGGAACACATGCTCGTTGGTTAACAGAGATCAGGGGATACACAGTCAACCTGCTGGGGTCTAGGTGTAGTAAGAACAACTTCTAAAAAGGAGGAGCAACCTCATACTGTCGATCTGAAACTCTTCTGTGTTCAGTTTTCTTTAATATGAGAACACTGTTAAATAAAGTAGCTTTCATTATCTCCTCAGCAGTCTGCCACACAATCAGTACCATCTCTGTGGTGGTATGCGTCCACTGAGTTGCACATAACGAACAATCACTACATTGCTTTACAATGCAGCGCTCGATGCTATTTCTGTGTTTGCAAAGGTCGAAACTCAACATGTAACAATGGTTTAATCAATGCTGCTTCTCTTGGTCGCTACTGCATATACACACACGTTTCAAAGAAAAAGCACAAACTCTGTTCATACATATTCTGATTAAAACACAAAATCTTCAAAACAATGAGGCTGATACATGTATTGCATTACTTACCAGAAACTCTCCCAACTATCCCAAAGACAACATATTGCATCCAAAAGAAAAATCTATCTGTCCACGTGTTACAGCAAACACTCACTGACAGTCAGGCACAGACGGTGGTTTCGCTGGCGGAGCTCGACAAACGAGTGCATTCATATGCCGGTTCACTGGTTGTGATGCCACTCCTCCCTCCACCGGGCGAGTTACAGTAGGCTGAGTGACAGTCACTTTTAGTCACCTTCCTCCCTCTCTCTCTTAAGTTCCAGCCCAGCTTCCTATTCCTCCTTCTCCTCCTCCCCCTAAACCAGCCTGACTGTGGTAGTCTGGTGAAGCAACAACGAGAGCCCTGTGTCCACTAAACTCTTCTTCCTCTCTCTTTTTGCTCTAATGCTGAACTCCACCCCCCAGCCCGGCCTCCTTCCTTAAGCCGTGTTCAATATTTACATACAGCAACACCTACACGTGTGCGTGCAGAGACACCCATAAAACCCTCAAAGTCGTTCCTTTTTTCTTCTGCAGGGTCATTGTGTTTGTGTTTTCATGGGCTATATAATGGTGAATCAGCATATTTTACTTCTTTAAAAGAACTCCCACACTCTACCACAATAAAGCCCACAACAGCCTTAGACGGATATGAGACTGCAAAGATTAGAGTTCGGGAGTTTCATGACTTTATATTTACTCACACAAACCAGTTTCTAGTCGGTATTAGTTGTCACAAAACTATTTGTTACCAACCCATTTACTGAAAGTTATTGTCACAGCATATGTAAGAGAATATCAAATGGGTGTACACATTGATAAGAATGAAAAACTGATTCATTCGGAGAAATATGCAGAGGTGGAATGATCACGTTGGTCAGAATCACAGCTGATGGAAATGTTACACAACATGGACAACCTTTCCTTTAAAGGCTTTATACGTGATTTTTGTAATAGAAATCAAGTATATCCTTAAAAATAACTCTGTGAGTCATGACTGTCTACAATGGGTGTAACACCTGAGTCCCACTGTCTGTGATGTTTTCAGAGTCCTATCTTCACTTTGTTCACATCGCCCAGACGGCCGGCTGACTCCTCCCCTTGTGTATAAAAGTTGTTTAATTGAGGGACTAGAGAAAAGAAGAATAACATACTGTACTCACTGCTTAACTGTGTTTCTAGATCACGCTCATTTCAGGTAAATTTACATGCAGTGTGAAGATACGAGCATAATAAAGATCGCTAGCATTAGCATGCTAACACAACAATGCACCGTGAGTTGTTTTGGTTTCATATATAAAGCCTTTAAGTTAAAGATCAATATTTTAGACTATGCGGTCTAGAAGAACTGTTATAAATCCAAGGCAAAAAGATCTTCCCAACAACTTGAGCATGTCTATTTAAGATGGACCAAACACACAGCCGACTTGAATATATTCAGCTAGCACAGTCAGTAACATCTATAAATCAGAGAATCACCAATTCCAAAAGTGGGCTAGTTCCACCTCATATGGTTTCAACATTCTTTTAATGAGAACTGCTGAAAGTGCAAATACTCGACTGCAGCCCATGATGAGCTACACGAGTATGTTTACTTCTGAGTGGGTGTCAGTTCTGTTCAAGTCCTGTGACAGTCAAGTGAGTCCATATACAAATACACTTCCTTTGAAAAGAAGCAGTACGATGTGTTTATTAGAAACAATAGTCACGTCCTGAACCCCCCCCCCCCCCCCTTCCCTCTTCTGTCCTTCATGTGTATGCACAGTGCAAAGCAATTAAAACACTTTGATCAGGAAGATATTCACACCTGCTGACCACAGAAACACAGACATCATTAGCCACAGAAGTTTGGTTGATGACTACTTGCTGAACGAAGCGTTAGAAAGAGCTTTCTAATGATGAGATGATGAATAAACGGCCAGTATTTTCACTTTAAAATATGTAAAAAATGCTGCACATATACAGGTACAGAAAAGGAAGATGCTTGTTTTCAAGGACTAGTTTGATCAAAGTTTCCGAGGACAAACTACTTTCTTTCAAAGAAATCTGCAATGTTTGCTTATTAGAGAGACTAAAGCCTTCTCAGTAAAGCTTAGTTAAAGTTTGAAATCGGTAAGGCTCCCGGTTTATCACATTTTAAAGCAGGGCTGTGCTTCTGTGCTTAATCTGTGCTGTTTGAATTTTATCAGGATTCTCGGGTGCCAGTTGGATTTGTACTGAGATCCTGAAGTGTTGCGATGTACTACTAATTTTCTTCTCCTTTTTAAACAAAAATACAAGTCAAATTGTGTAACAGGAGAGAGAGTAGAATATCATGGGTAATATTTCCTGAAACAATTCACATCACATGTCAGTCAGTCTTTCCTTTTTTGATCATTCATTTGTTTTTCATACTATCTATCAAAGTCTGTTCCCAAAAGTTCACTTTCTCTCTGATGATCATCTGACTAGCATCTGTTGTTTTTGTTACCTGCTATGATTCTTGCCCGATCTAGTATATGATTGGCTGAGATGTTTCAGTGAAAAAGATGCTGTGAGCAGCAGCTGCCTTCTATCCAGAGGATTTCACTCTCTCTTCATTGGGAAACAGCTCTGCAAAAAGATAAATGGACTTACTTAGTGTGCAGGTTAATATTCATCAATGATCACCTCAGCAGCACTCTACTACAAGCACATTCACTAACCTCAAACAAATACCTGCTTTTTCTGGATACAAACACCGCAACCTTCTAAATGTGGATGGCAACAGATTTTATTAGTTATTTCCTAGAAAAACCTGAATGTTCATTAAGTTGGCTCGTAAGCTAATTAAAAGTCTACCCTACTTGCTTATGGAGAGGAGACCGTGGTATGAAACTGAACGCTTACAGACATGACAACAACTCTCCACTGGTTAAGTTCTGTCTGTTAGGATGAAACAACAAATGGCAAATTTCCCCATTAACTAAAACTTTATTAAATCAGTTCAGAGTACATATGGGGATGAAAGAGTTATAGCTTCATTAATAACCTAGAAGAATCAGAGCTTTTGAGAAAACAACACTTGCATTATCTGTTTTTTTCTCTTCAAGCTTCTCTTCGCCCACAGTGGCTGTTTTCCTCTACATCGATATAATGTCACGATTATCGATCCTAGGTCCAATAAATCCAGATCATTTAGTGAACCCATTTCTTTTTCCCACCTCTAAAGGTCACATGCATAATGTCCATTATGTTCAGCAATTGATTGATGGATGCTCTGTGAGGGATATGTATTTGGATTAGATCATGGCCGATTAATCGACCAGCCGATAATGTCGGCCGATATAAGCATATCCAGTGACTATCTTTATCGGCTAATTTTAACACAGATATGCATCGATATTACAACATTTATTAATTTGAGAACAATTGTATTACACTAGCAGTTAACTTTCTGGCTGTCAAGAGTCGATATGGATTATAAAAAGCATCAAACTCTACATAGTGGTGATGAATGTACAAACACAGTTACTTTCCAGTTGAGTGACCATCTGGCCTTATTATATTTCCAGAAGTGTTTGATAACTACATTTGAGGGATCAACGCAATGTGTATATCTACATCTATCTCTACAGATCAAACATGGATATGAGAAAGAAAAGGGCAGATATATCGTTCATATTTTTTCAATCGGTCGGGCCCTAATTTGGATGTGCTGTATTGGTAATGAAATCTGTCTGACTGAGGTCTTTCTTACATCCCTTTATGCAACCTGACTGTAAGTATGGTTTTAAACGCTCCCATTTTCCCCCTTTATCTCTGGATACAGAAACACAAACAGCGGTATCAAAGTGCCACAAAGCAAGTTGTGCCTATCACAACAGAGGAGAACACAGGCCAGCATGGTTCAGCAGCACCCAGCTCACAAGCATCCCTTGTTTGTACACAAAGCATTCAACATTGGGCCAGCTCCACTTCTCATAGTGCCCGCAGTGTATTTACTGGGCTATTTTTGTCCAGGGGCAGGACCCCCCCTAGGACCACAGCTTATTGGCTGGGAAATCTGCATTCCTGTAAAGTCTAACCAATCATGAAGGCTCTGTGTAGGAGGGGAAACCATTGACCAAGAAAGCCTTGTATTTTTTTTGACAATGGCCTATTTGGAGGAGGTAGGACCCAAACACGGACATTCACGCACACAAACACACCACCCAGGACCCTCTTCCACTTGTCAGTCAGGCAAGTGTGGTGTTTAAACTCCCTCAGCTGTTGTAGTTGCAAAGATATAGCAAACAAATACAATATTCAAGACAATCTATAGCTCTGTTGGAAGCGTTGAACGACTGTGTTGATATGCCGAGATGTAGTCTGAAGAAGCGATGCTAACTCCGGGCTATCTTCCTGTTAAGTAGGACAAACAATGCTGGCAATATCCCCAGCTAGTTAAAGCCAGAGTACCAGGCAATGGTTTTACATTTCAACCATTTAAACATTTTGTTCTTATGATATATATCTGTGTCACATCAGTACTACGTATCCAAAGAATATGATGCTGCCCAGTTAAGTAAACGTATAAAGATGCTTTTAATGGCTTAAATATCGAGTATATTTATGGAATTATTTTGAAGTTTAAACAATTCTTGTCCACACAAATAAGCATCCACCTGTTTAAAATGTACACACGTCAAGAACCTGATTTCTAATAAATGTTTATGGCTTATAAGAAAAAGACTTCCTCATACTGATAGTGTGACAGCATATGGCCTGAGGTGACCAGAAACATTCAGCCTGACTCTGTGGTTTAACAATATGTATCACAGTGACATTAACTTCAAAGAAATATTAATTGTATTCAATGGATCTTTGTAATGTATATGCATACTTAAGCTTACATATCTAAATAAATAAAACTTGTCTTAAGCTAACTGCTGTGAAGGCAGTCAATTTACAAACAGGAAAACAAACAGTGGATAGTTGTAGCATTATATGGACAGTCACAATGTGTAGAGCTACTTGATGTTTATTGCCACTGAACCTATGTAAAGGGAGGTTACCATTATTAACACTGATCGAGTAAACAAACGTGTGGATCCATGAGAGTGTGAGTGTTCCATAGAGAGGGAGTAGAGTATTAACCAGCCAACCAGCTGCACAGCATTTCTTTTGCGTGGGTGAAAGTCCCCATGTACGGAGCGATGGAATGGAAAGCATTTGTGAGATGTGTTAAAAGATAAGACACACACATACTGTATGCACGCACACACACAGAAAAATTAAGTGAACTGTAGAGGTGAAAAGTCAAAAACAGATTTTCTGTAAGATTTTCCACTCCCTCTCACCACCATTTCATACGTCCCTCTCTCTCTCTCTCTCCAACTCCCTTTTTCCTACTTTCATTCTATAACGACTAGAAAAGTTAA